ATCAGACACGCAAGTTGATCTTTAAACTTAGATTTTCATGATTGGGTGATTTGTATCAAACAGCCTCTAGTTCTACTTGGACAGAAGATAACCCTCTACCGCCAGTAAACCAAAAGAACCATTAGATATTTGCGTGAAACAAATCATTTCTCTATTTGCAATTAGACTAGTAGCAGTCTGCTAACTATAGGTCTTAATCCTTGTTTTAGAGTAACTAAATTTCCTACAGGGTATGCTACTTTATTAAATTAACTGCCAAATTATGCTGTCGTTAGCAAAAATCCTTTAAAAGAGCATAAACAGATAAACATGCATTTATGGATATAACTCTATTTTTACACATATACACATATATTTCGTTCTCATGAAATTGTCTTAAAATAAGTGAGTCTTACTATTTGTCTTTTCAAATAAGTACTGATAATTTTTTATCAACTGTTTTTGCAAATCATTTTTAATTATGAGTCTGCTTTCCTGATTTTTAATTTGTTACGCATGTTTTTGAAATAATCTTTATTTTCAAAGTGTTTTCAAATTATGGAAGAAATCGTTTATTGTGCACTGAACCCAAAGTGTCTGAGATTCTTTCACCCAATGAGTAATCAGTATGGCTTGTACCCATCATTTTATCAAATTTATTTCGATATATGTCTTAAAATGTAAGATTGTGCTTTTTAGAAGCATTGAACTGTTACTGCTTATCTCAGACTAATAACGAATATAATGGTAGTTAAATTAACCTAAACATGGCGTACATGAATATTTGTTAAATACAAAATAAAAAGTCAATAAAATTAAGTTTTGATAACAGTATTTGGATTGAACTGAACTGTTCGATAAAGGTTTCCACCTATATATTTCTATGTCCCTAGCGACATTAGTGAATGGCATAACTAATAGAGCTGCAATAGCTCTCCTATCCTATTATAGAGTGTATCATTATTTGATTTTATTTAAAAAAAATTTCAGTATGACAAAGTTTAGTTCTTGACAATGTTTGGTATTTGAAAAGAAAGAAAACATATGTCTATGAATCCAAATAATGTCTAGATAGTTAAAGAACATGTTTATGGCCCATTGTTTTAAAAATATAGAGTTAATACATATGTCCATTAAAAAGTTTATTTCATTTATAAAATAAACAACTGTCATAAAAGTTAATGGATCTTATTATACATATTTAGATACTGATTTATATTTTTAGAAAAGAAAAATTTAAATAAATTAGTTTAAAAACATATATATATCAAAATAATGCAGCTTTCAATTAAAGATGACACATAATGTCACCAACCAATCAAACAATGTCATTACTTTAATATAATATTAACCGTTGTGGAGGATACCTAACTACAAATAGCTATAGCTACAAATAGTTGAACGTCGCTTTTAACATATGTAAATTTCCGATGGAACTGGCCTTCGTATAATAAAATAGGGATTTGGAAACTCCATAATAGGACTTAAGTCAACACTGCAACTCTTTTAGGCCACTACTTTTTACGGTCATTGTAGAAATTGTGAAACAAAAAAGTTATAATCACGCTTTTTCTCTTTAATTGCCCTGTTTTACCCACCAGACGGTATTTTATCTGGACAATTCATCGGTTATGATAAAAGATCTGCTTAACTACATGAATTATATACGCTTGCCCTTGTCATATCAATTGCGGTTTCTTATATAGAATTCGGTTCTAATCGTTAATTACGAGGACTGGAATATTATTTGCTAGCCAGTCAATGTAACAAACCAACTAACCAACCATATGTAAAAACAATACATGGATATGCGGACGCATCAAGAGAGTACAGTTAAAGCAGATATAGCAGAGGTTCGCGATCAAAAACACAGCTATCAATATACAATATTAAATTAAATATTACTGCCCATAAACAATTAGTTTAAAATAATTAATTTAATAATTTTTAATTAAACAAATGCATACCTTTAGGGGCTTTATACTAGTAAAAACAGCTAGATTAGATTTTTTAAATTCTACATTTACGAGGAAGTATAATTAGTTACACTAAAACATTTAAATATTTAAAAAAATTATATCACTTCTAAATCGAAACAAAAGTGATAAAGATGTTTTAACAGAAAGTAAAATCTATAAAATCTAATACATTTTAAATAAAGGTTAGTGTAGAATATAATCATTTAATATACAATCGTACATATAAAAAATATCTCTCCGTAGGTATGATAGAACAATACAACTATTATTATAGGTTTATATTACCTGTGATTATTCGCCGTCGTTTAAGGAATACTAATTATGTTTATTATCACAGTAACTCCTAATAATTCCGGAACAAAAGCAGTTAATTCACGTTTATGAAATGTCCTTTTATCTAGAACTGACACAAATATAAATAATTCGAGTACCTTTAATAAACTACCTGATCACATTTAGAGGAAATCCCAGACGCAGTAGAAATTATTTTTCCAAGTACTGATCCTTTATATGGCATAAATAATATTTAAAGATACAAGAACTTAAAAGAAGGACCATGAAAGCAAGCGAGATAAATGCGATATATTTTTATATTAATTTGATTCTAATATAAATATATTAAATACATTTGCTTGTGATGTCAAGGTACTATCTGCAAATATTGCTCGCAATATTTACTCATCTTTGTAAAAAATTTGTTTTTTTTTCTCTATATGTTAAATGAATTCATTCTTAAATATTTTATTCAATAAAATGATAAATTTTATATAAACAGCTGCTGAATTTAGCACATTTAAAATAATTTTCAAAGTATTTTAATACAAACAAAATAATGTTCAGGTACATGGGAATATTTAAGAAATATGTTAAAAAAGAAAGATATCTAAAAATAATCAAAAATAATTTTATGAACAGAACTCAGTCTGCTATAAGCAATTCAAATTTGTACTAACAAATTTTGTTAAAACAAGTGGTAGATCTTCGCTGTTGATTCAGTCATGTTTTTATTCTGCATTATATTCATCTGGTATACCTATTAACACATGTCATTGTAGACACTCCATTCTTATTACAGGAACACACCCAATTGCCAAACTTCAATGTATATGTATATGTACGTCGAATACAAATTATTGACGAAATCCTGACACAATGTAATCAATATAATCCAAATTGCTTATTCGAGCTAAGAACTCTAACGCTGATAAGTCTAAACAGATATAAATTTTAAAGTATATATCTTACTATTAAATACCACCTTTAAAATAAATGATTAAAAGGATATCTGAAGATTTAGTAAAATACTTAATAAAATGTCTACTGATCTTTTTCACGACTGTTCTGTGATTATTAACAAATGAGTCATTTATCTAACTTTATTTGAACTAAAGAATATCTATAAATTCAAATAAAGGTTCGTCCTAAAAATTTGTTTTTAAATTTAAACTATGGACTATTCTTTTCAATTTCAAATACGAGTATGCTTTTATTTTCCAAAAGTATTATTTTTAAGCGCACAATCGGTGAAGCTAAATTAGAAGAACGTGTCGAAGAATAGACCCCGTTAACATGGATTTTTTCTATAGTATATTAACTAGTTCTTGATTTTGACGTTTTTTTGTATTACGTATGAGAATGTTTATAAAGTTCTCTATTAATTTTTTTCCTATTCAAGATAATTGATGAAGATTAATTTGTGACTATTTCAAAACATAGATACTATATTCATTTTAATATGGCATCTTTGGTTGACTTCTTCTGTTTGGAATTTTCTATCGACTTTGATTAAAAGTAGTATATACTTTGCTAACAGCTATCTCTATCCTTTGATATTCATAAGATATCAGTTATCTTTTGCAAGTTTAATATGCGTGCTATAGATGTTTATAGCATGCAAATCAAATACATATATGATATAGTATTCAACTTCTCTTGTTTTACAGATATATTGAGAAAACTTCTATATCTTTCATACACAATAGTTTCAAAAATAAATTAGTTTAGAATTAGTATATATTGATCATCATGAATTTCACTATCTTTTGGTTTCTTTATTTTCGTTGATGTGATTTCTAAACAGAAATTTTTGTATATATTATATTTCATATATAAATAAACAAATATTGATTTAAAGATGTTTACTATATAGCAGACAACTCCTTAATCAAATGCATTCTGGTATCAGTAATTTACAACCTCGAATTTTCTCTTTCTACAATTTTTCAATAATGAAAATAGATTATATTTTAAATTTAAGGAACTAGAAAAATCAGGTTTAAAATTAATTAATCAATTAACAAAGTATTATTATTTTTGTTTTGATTTTTTATATATATATTTTAAACCTCATAAATATTCAAACAAATTTTTTTTTGTGTCACGTACGTGAAGTGTGAACTGGGTCCTCTACGTTTGTAATTGACGGCACATTTGGCTTGGTAGACAATAAAATTTTTAAAATAGATTATATAGAAAAAATTGTATCGATAAGACATAAACTGCTAAGTAATGTATTTTCAGATTTGCTATTTGTATATATGTATATAATATATATAACCTTGCAACATTCATGGCAGTGCAATGACTTTGTACCATAGGTATGTTTTTAAAAACACCTTTATAATCAAAACAATAATTAATTCATAAAAAAATTGGATTATGAACAAGATTTTAATTATAAATATATAATATAATTAAAAAGTGAATTTATATATTAGACCTACATGATAAGTAGGGAGCATGATAGCAATGGATGATATAATAATATTATAATAATATATGTCTCTTAGATATAGTAAAAATATTTTTATAATATATAACAAGATATATGTTATAATATGAATAAAATGTATATGAATATGTATATAACTATATATGAAATTTTGATATTTTGTTTGTTGATCAATAAATATAATATATATAGGTATTATAGTATACAATTATTCAATATTTTTTGAGTTAAATTCTAAACCGATTTTTCACATGTAACCATAGGTTTATACAAAAATAACACTAGAAAATAATTAAATATAGCTTACAACAGGAGTGGGAACCAATATACATCAATATATTTCATTATTCATTATTCTTGACAAAATATTACTGAAGTTTTCAGCTTTCGAATTAAACAATTATGCCAAAATCGGAATTCGATAGTATTATAATATAAATGTAGTTTCAAAACTGTTACTTGCTTCACTGGGAGCTTGAATCTATACTCTATAATCGTTATATCCTGCGCACCTATTATTAAAACATACTATGTAATGAGTATGAATCTTAAATTAACAATTTATTATTATAAACATGTGTACATGTAAATTTTAGATAAATATTATATATCATAAAAGTAAAGCTAAAACTAAACAACAATTAAACTAACAACAATACAGAGTAGGTTAGAATAAAATATTCTTGTACTTAAAAGTAACTATGTTTTGAACTAATCAAATATTCCCAAGTCATCAAATCGTTTCAAGGCATAACGTAAAGTGTCTGTTGTGCGTGGATTTGAGGAGAACATTAAATTCACTTTCTTTTTAGCAAAATCTTGATTAGTCATGGCCTCAATTGAATTATCTAAGGAATCCTCCTTCTTCATAGCAACCATAGGCAGAAAGGCGTATGATGAGAAAAAGCCATACAGTTCGCGCGCTCTGATTTCCATTTTAATATCATGCAAAGTAGGTATGTACTGGTAGTGCATGCATTCCAAAGAGTCGCGTAAAGATTTGTAATAGGTCTCCACAAGGAAATCACGACGATTTATAAGAACATCCAACTGTACGCTGCTGTTGAGGAAAAAATTTATGTCACAACCTGGGCTACCGAAGAAACTGTTTTGGAAATCAACCTATAAATATATTTATATAAAATTTTTATTTAAAAATGCTTTCATTATCTATAAAACATTTACTTACAAATATAACATCAATGGGTTTTTTGGGATTCTCCTCATCGTATTTATACATGAAGTTATTGACCCATAAATCACCATGGTTTAATACGGTCAACTCGCCTGGTATGGCTCTGCCCGTCATAACAAGGTTCTCCATTATATTGTCACAGTGTCTGTGTAATTTTTCAGCTATAGCGTCATAACCTGTCCACTTTGATGCAACATTGGCTAAGGTGCGCAGCTGCAAAGTCATGAAGTCTATAAAACGCTTGCTGGTGCGTATATAATTCTCATCTAGCATGCCGGTAGTAAAGTGTTCACGCACTGTGGGATCCTAATAAAAATGGGTCAATTTGTTAATATTATTTAAATTGTGTATGAACTTGATGATCTTAGATATTTTTTTATTGCTGTTTTGGTTTTAATTTTTATTTGAAAAACGACCATTTAACAGAAATGCTGACTTAGCAATTGCTTTGTTGGTAAATACGACGAGTATTTCATAAATTCAGACAAAGCTTTAAATTTGCTAAAAACAACATCAGAATTTTGTTGTTTGTTTTTTTTGGCAAATTATTTTTAATATCATTTTGCTGACAAATATTGACATAAATTTAATCATTGCACTGATAAGGCTTTCTATTTTATTACACAATGATTTTTTTAGATCATATTACATTAGCATCAAATTAAATATGAAACCATTAATAATAAATAAAAAAAATTCTTAATCGAAGTTAACTTACTTTCTCTGCTAGGACCATAGATGTAGCATGGAATTTTCCCAACTTCTCCAGAATGACCACACAATGTTCTTCGTTTAGGCCTCGTTGACGACTTGCTAATTTGTAACCATACTGAGTTAAGTCATCGAAAACTATGGTCTGCATTGGCTCACGTGTTGTATAGAGACATCTAAAAATAGAATTAATAAACATATTTAAATTTTTTTTAAATATTTTCACCTATAAATATTTTAATTAATTTATCAATAAAACTTATAAAAGCCTATAAAGAAAAATTATAAAGCAATATATTACAAATTCTATAAGATCATTTGTTTTAATAGAATAGACTGGGGTTTCTAAACATCTCATTAAGGATAACGCAGATCATAAGGATTATATATCTTCAACTTAAGTTTTTTACAAAATTAAGCTATTTTAAACACATATTTTTAAGTATTGACTACCAAAAAAATAATTACTAGTTATCCTTAATTCAAAGTCCTTTTAGGATAAGAAGAATGGTTAGGATTAAAGGATGGTAAAAACTTATATGCAGAACACTAATATGACATAACAATTTTATTTGGAGTAAATTTATGTTTTCTTCAAAATTTAGTTAATATAAACAAATATTTATAAAATTAAATTTTAATAATACTTTATAAATGTTAAAAATTTAATTAAATATTAAAAATAAAAGGTTTTTAATGATGATCCTTTTACTTATGCTTAAAGTGTTATAATATAAATACTCACTTGGCACCAAATTTCGAACCGTCTCCTATTAGAACCTCTAGTTTGCCCAGGACATCAAAATAGAATATTTTTTCACGTAAATAAACTGCTAAATCCTCGAGAAATTGTGTGGCTGGTGTTATGGCAATACTTTTCACTATCAGTGCTAGTTCCTCATCCAACTGTCGTTTACTACTACGATACAGCGCCTTAGCACGATAAATCTTACTGCAATAGTTTTCACCGCCTCCATTAGATTCAGCAAACACAATTTTCTTGATGTCGACACGCATATCTCTCAGACCATCCTCGAGTGCGGCCTTGAAAAACTCCTTATTGAGATATTTTGGCGGATCTGCTTGTATTGCCAATTTCATATTGAATATTCCTTGAGAGTGATAATTGTTGTAGAAATAATTGTTGAAAATTATAACAAAGTTGTAAATTTAATTTCAATTTGATATTTTAAATAAATCCAAATAATTCCGGCGTGTTTGACGACTTTGTTAGAACTGTGCTTGGGTATTGCTGTGAGGGTTTAATTATAAAGTTTTTAGCGTTGGCGTATCGTGAGTCGGAGAATCGCTTATCTATGTCTATATTTAATGTACTTAATTAAGCACTGCGCTGCACTTCACAGCTCGACAACAGCCTGCTCGGTTATCGCAGTTTCGATCGTACTAGCTCAAGTGGCTCTGAGTTTTTGAAGCAGTATTGCTGTTTGCGGCTCTGTGCACTGCTAGCAAGGTTTTAGTGAGTCCTTTATTTTTTATACGTATAGTTTGGTCTCAAATGATTTTGTCTTTCGCTAACTATCCGTCAGTTTCAACTATTTAACTATAAATTTTTAATATCAATTAATTTTACATAAATTTGAATTAGCCTAAGCTCTGTTACATTTTCTTTATCTATCAGATAAATGCATTTTTTAAAATCGATAATAATAAAGATAATTTAAACAAGGCAATAGATAATAAGTAGGAGGTTACTGAAAACCACAATAAGTGAAAATAAACACAGTGCTGTGAGTGTGGTTGCGAAAAATTATACATAGATAATATGTCTAGTACGTCTTCCATATGCATCAATTTATAATCTATAAAAATTTTGTTCTATGTAATCTACATTTCTAGAATATCTATACAGTTTAAAACATTTTTATTCCAAGAAAATATTATAAACTGATTGGTTTCATGAAGAAAATATTATATTATGAAAATATTATAACTGACAACTAAATGCTGGCTTGGTCATGTCGTACGAATGAAAGAAAGTACTCCGGCTAGAAAGGTATTTGATTTGGTACCCGCAGGTGCAAAACACAGTCCCATAGAAGACGTTTTCCAGATGACTAATCGGGCTGGCTGTTGTAGGCTACTTGACGCGGCCAAGGACAAATCACGTCTATAATGGCCAACTAAGTAAATAAATAAGTACACATATCATTTTACAATAATAGTTACTAATATATGGTCATACATATACGTAGTATGACATTTGATACAGAGAAAAAAGTAATAGACTTAGAATCTGTATTAGTAATCATATTTACTTACTTATTGACTGCCACCTTACATTTTGCTGGAGAATAGGATGTCACTAATTGTCATTTGACACAGAGAAAAAAGTAATAGACTTAGAACATGCGTTAGTTACCCTATTTACTTTCTTACTGACTGCCTCCTTAACTTTTGTTGGAGCATAGAATGTCACTAATCGTGCTTAATCGTGTTGTATTCTAAGTCATGCTCACTGTTCTCAGTCCACGAATATCCCGGATAATTAATATATTTATCATCAGTGTAACGTCATGTTTCGCTTAGTCTTCGGATGACCTGCAGATCACCGCAATGCTTGTCTAGCTTAGTTACCATATAAATGGCGATACAGAGTATATAACACGTAAGTTGTGTTATATATAATAGTCAATGTTATCATTGTAATTTATAAGCAATTCTCATACATTTTTACGTTAGTAATTGATCTTCAAGAACTACTAAATAAACAAATTGGTATTAATCGGTTCTATACAAGAAACTACAATTGAACCAATGGTCCAATGAAAATGATTACAAATTTATTTCGACAAAAACGTAGTGGAAGATAATCTTCAAAATATGAGTAAGTTTATTTAATAGATGTCTGCAGTAACAGAAAAATCACAGAGAATAGTATAACTGCTTATTCTAAAATAATATATACATACATATCTTAAACGAAATCTTATTTCTCATCAACTTAAAATATCAACTGAATAACGGGAAATGAGTCTTTCATCGAAGAGATTTTGTCTGAGCTAATTTGTTAACTGAAAACATTTCAGAAGAATTCTGCCTATCCGTATGTGTAAATATCCGTATGTTTGTTATATCACCGACAGTCAAATGATAATTTTTCTAGTAAATTTTAATTTTTTCTTTAATTTTTCTACGAATACATTAGCATACACTAAGATAATAATAACGAATGCAATTGCAAATTTGGACACCTTTGATGCTTTTATCACCCGCTGATAACCTTTTTGTATTGGTGCACAAAATTAAGACGCATATAACCTTGATAGTAAATAATCTCACATTCAAATTAATATATATAAGTGTAAAATGTTATTGTTCCAAAACAAAAAAAAAACGCAATTATTTAAACAAAATTCCCGAAGACATCTATTATCAATAATGACGTAACATTTGTAACAAAGTTCAGTTCTTATTTATTTACATACCTATGTTACTGAATAATGCATTCGTAAGTATTACTAAGCTCATAAGTGTGGATTAAGCCCATATTACATATGCAAATTCCAGAACATAGAATACCGCCGCCTTGTACGATATTCTACAGAGCTTTGCAGTCTACAAAGAAACTTTCACTCTACTTTATATATATCGCACACGTCACTTTTAGCGGTTCTGTCACTAACCGACCCGCTTGTAGTTGGAGATAAGGCGATGTGATTTTCGGCGACGCCAGTCGCAATTTCAGACTGGAAACCTATGATTTTTCGTCAGGAGGCGCACTTTGCGCTTTTGATAGTTACTTTATCTGCAACATGCGATTGTGTAGTCTAACATAATTTGTCGTCTATGCTTTGAGAACTGTGAGAATATTTAGGGTTATCATAATTTAGAGCCATAAGTTTAATTTGACTTTAAAATTTAAATTTGAATTTTTAAATTTTTTTATTTTACTATAAATAAAATTTACTAGAAAAAGATTACAAATATTTATTTTGCTTAATTCTTGTTTTTTTTTTTTGCATATTTAGATCATATAAATTTGTTTTAAAATTGTATATATATAAGCACTTGTTTACATTATTTAAATATAATTCAAAAAATACATATATAAATTATTTTCCATAATCAATGACTAATGGAACAAATAAAATAAAATTCAATAAAAATAATATTATACCAACATAATCTATAGATACTTGACAATATCAGAAACAGCGATGTGTTTATCCAAAATACTACTCAACTGAAATTGTAGTCAATTTCATTATCCACTATATGTATGATTGCACATCCATTAAAAGTGTTAAATTGACAACGTGTTCAATCTAATTTATTTTATTATATATATATATATATATACACCTGAGTCATAAAATTGCGGTTTCCAGTCGGAGCCAAGTCAACCATTGATATCCTAGAAAAAGCTCTTGATATGATACTGGAAGCGTGATGTGATTACTGACTGTGGTGTTGTTCACAAGGATGTATTAGAATAGAGAAGGTATGCAAAGAGTGCAGATGCTTGAAGCTGAATTTTAATCATTAAATGGTTTCTTCTTGTTATGAATATATATATATATATACAACAGCACAGCCAGTAATCACATCACGCTTCCAGTATTATATCGAGAGCTTTTTCTAGAATATCAATGGTTAACTTGGCTCCGTCTGGAAGCCGCAATTATATGACCCGGCTATTAGGTTGATTCTTAGGTAGTTGACACAAATCGTTGCGTCGTTTTCCCAATACCGGAGGTATTATTATAATTATTTAAATGACAATCTTAATACTATTGAAGTTCATGCTAAAGCTGGTAACACCTTCGGAAACTTTATCAAACCTTCTGATTTTAATATCATATCTTTAAAAGTTTATCAAAATGACTGCTAGAATTGGGTCTGAGAGCAGTTATAAAAGTAATCTGAAAATAAAAATCGCAACATAGCTTAAAATATTATAAAATGCTATTGCCGTTGTATTATAGTAACGTTATGGGAACCACAATATGCTTTTCGCCAAGGTAATTCCATTAACTCAATTAGGGTTACTTCTTTGATTACTATTTTGTTCCATATTGTCTTGTGTATTGTTCCCTTGTGTATTGAAGACTTTGGTGTGTTCATAATATAGAAAACGTTGGTAATGTTTACGCTTTCACTATAGACAGTCGACAAATATAGATAAAGTTCTAATTGCTTTTTTATTCCAGTAACAATTAAGGAAACTCATTATTTCGACCTATTCAGATAATAGAAAATAAATAAATGTAGGGTATACGTGAAACAAAATCTCTAATCGAAATGCTGAAACTATTTCATAATAAATATTTTATCATAATCAATACTTATTATTACATATATCTTGCCGATAATAAATTGATATACAGTAAATGTAAACAATAACTCAACCTAAATTAATTTTCTCAAGAATAAGGAAACAGACCACTCTTGGTATTTTAACAGTTTAGAAATCGATGACATGAAAACTGTCATCGTGCAAATCTAGACAACTCAATCACTCGTAAGTACACATCGATTTTTTTCCATTCTATTTTTTACCACTTCACAAAAGGTTATAAACTTAAGTACTCCCAGATTAGTTCCGAAGAATTCACAGTCTTCTGGTCATCGCTGTATGCATTTTTTTCCAATAAAACAGAAATAAATAGAGCTGTGCAATTAAAAAAAAAGCTAGAAAAACAAAAGCAAGATACAATAACTTTCCACGATAATATTGATCAAGTACATAGATAAACACTAGTTGGAGAGGTAAAGTCTAAAAGCACTTTGCACTCAAAACGTAATCGCATTTACGTATGTATCGTACGTATTGCAACTACAGATGAAATGGCGCGTTTTAATTATTCTCTGATATGTTCTGGTTCTGGGCTCTTCGATTGGTTTCGCAAAATCCTATACATATAGTGCGAAAGATTGTAAGACGTAGTTTTCAAATTACTTGAAATGAAATATTTTATTGAAACTTGAGTGCTCAGATAAGCACACCTTTTTTCCCTCACATATGTGACTTTTTTTTTGTAATTTTATTATGCCGAGACAATTTGTTTATAAACAATAAAAACCTTATGAAAAAGTTTTCTAAATATTTATGTAATTTTACTTTTATATTCAATAACATAATAACATAAGTTTTATGGCCGTACAACAACAAGGTCATTATATCATTGTGTATTGTGCATTATTTTACAGTATAGGAGCATTTTGTGGATTGTCGTCTTCGTAACTGAAAATGTGTCTTGTAAGTGGGTCACTAAACCGTTGTTACTTGGTTTACCAAAAGTGGA